CCACCATCATGCAAAACGTTTCAGGTTTTTGTTTTACAGTCTCTGGCAGGACGGTTTGTCTTCCCTGGGTGGTTGCTGCCCACCAAAAACCCCCCTACCCATAAATATATTTTAATATATATATATATATATATTATATATATAATTTATATATATATATATAATTTTAATATATATATATATTCTTTTTTTTTTTTTTTTTTTTTTTTTCAACAAAATCGGCCGTCTTTCCCCCCCGAGGCAGGGGACCCCCCCCCCCCAAAAAAAAAAAGAAAATCCCCCAAAAAAAAAATACTTTCATAAACATTCAACACTTTCAAACCCCAAATCGCACATTATTTTCTGTTTTTGCCCGAGGGGTCAGAATACAACAGTCTTAGAAGGGATTTCACATATAAAAATACAAAACATATCCCCCCAAACTGCCAAAATCCCAAACCCCTCCTTTAAAGTGCAGGCATTGTACTTCCCCTTTCCGGATCAAGTCCACCCATATGAAAAAACCCGGGTTTTCCCCGAATCCCTTCACTTTAAAAATTACCCCCGCTCACACTCCCAAAAGATCGTCAGGGCCCCAAATTCCATTCGTTTTCCATTTATCCTATCTAACACGCTCCGCCCCGCTTGCCGAAAAATCCAAGCCCCTTACCCACAAAAACCCCCTTTTTCCCCCCCTCTCCAACCCTTTCGAGGCGACCCCCCACCCGCCCCCTTTCCCTTTTTCCCATAGATTTATTGCTTTCCATGGGCTTTTTATTTGATCCCTTCTCTCTAAATGACCAAAAACCCCCTCAACAACCCCTCTTCTGCCCTCTGATTTAAAACTTTTATTAAACCCCCCACCTTTCCCAATTTCCACACTCCGGAATTTTTTGCTAAAAATTTACACCACACATTGCCCTTTAAAAAGGGGCTCTCCACTGCCCCCAACCGTCTCCCCGCTGCTGCATTTTACCCCCCCAAAACTTCACCCCCCATTTTAAGAAATGTTGGTATACTATACTTTCATACATTCCCTTTTTTGCCTCCATAGATAAAAGTTTTTTGGGCTCCCCCATTACCCAACGCACCACTACCTTTTTTCCCCCAAACAATTCTATGATTAACCTCATCCTTTATAAACCATTCCCCCGACACGTCAACTCCCAAGTTCCCGAAAACATTTACTTTTTTTACTCCTTTCCTTTCCCCCAATTTTTATATCCAATTTTTTCTTTATCTAAATCCTTTGACACCCCCATAAACCCCTTTCTCTTTTCTATGTTTTCCTTTTAACTTTCTACCCTTTTCAAACTTTTCCCCAAATCATCCACTAACCTTTGCCCAATTTTTTTTTTTGAATCTCCCAAACCATGTATCATCAGCAAAAAAAATAACTGTGTTTTTAATTTTTCCCCTTTTTTAATTTGATTCCCCATAATTTAATCCCCCTCTCCCCAAAAACCCCGCATTTTTCTTCCTTTACAACCCCCCTCTATAAATATATTAAAAAAAACCATGGGGACATTACACATCCCTGTCTAAGACCTACTTTTACCGGGGGAAATAGTCTCCCTCTCTTCTTTCCCACCCTAAACCCGGGGCCTCACTTTCCTCTTTAAAAAAATCTTTACAGCATTTTTAAAAAACTTACCAAACCCATTCCCCTATACTTTTAACAAAACTGCCCCCATTCTCCCCTATCCACTCTATATTTTGCCTTTTTTTAAAACCCTAAAAGCAAAAAAAAACTTCCCCCTTTTTTATCTAAATACTGTTCAAAATATATGCTTCAATGTAAAAAACCTGATTACACATCCCCTACCCACTCTAAAACCTCCTTGCTCATCCCAATCCTTTAATTTTGTTTACCCCTAAAAAATTTCAATTATACCCAAACCCTACACTTTTCCTGGTTTTCTCGTAAGCTTTTTTCCCCTTTTTATTTTTACGTTTTCTTTTTCCCTTTCCCTTTATATTAAAGGGACTATAATGCTCTCTGCCAATCCCTTTGGTACCTTCCCCCCTTTCATACTTTTTAAACAAAAAAATTTCCCCAAACCCCCCAACACTTTTAAACCCCCCCCCCTTTTTTAAAATTTTTTGTCCCTGATCCCCTTTGTTTTAGCTGGGTTTACCCCCCTTAAATTTTTCGTAAAAGGGCCCCACGTACCTCCCCACCTTTTCATTCTGCTTTCTTCATCCTAAAAGATGGTTTTACCTCCTGACCGGCATGAAATTTCGCCTCTGTTTTTTTCCTTAACATTTAAAATTCCTCAAAATATTTTCCAATTTTCCCCCAATTTCTCCATCTCCCCCCTTATAACTCCCCTTTCTCTGTTTTTTTAATGAAAAATCCATATTTTCCCAGGGGTTTCTTAATTGTTTAACTCACTCCAAAAAATTTTTTCTTATTTTCATTAAAATTTCTTGACAGTGCCTCTCCCACTCTATCATCTGCTCTCCTTTTGCACTCTCTTACCACTCTCTTTACCTTTCTTTTACTCTCCATATACTCTGCTCTTCTTATAACACTTCTGCTTTGTAAAAACCTCTCATAAGCTACCTTTTTCTCTTTATCACACCCTTTACTTCATCATTCCACCAATCACTCCTCTTTCCTCCTGCCCCCACCCTCCTATAACCACAAACTTCTGCCCCACATTCTAATACTGCATTTTTAAAACTATTCCAACCCTCTTCAACCCCCCCACTACTCATCTTTGCACTAGCCCACCTTTCTGCCAATAGTCGCTTATATCTCACCCGAACTTCCTCCTCCCTTAGTTTATACACTTTCACCTCCCTCTTACTTGTTGTTGCCACCTTCCTCTTTTCCCCCTCTACCTCTTACTCTAAAATGTAGCTACAACTAAATAATGATCCGATATATCAGTTGCCCCTCTATAAACATGTACATCCTGAGCCTACCCATCAAACCCTTTTATCCACCAATACATAATCTAATAAACTACTTTCATTACGTGCTACATCATACCTTGTATATTTATTTATCCTCTTTTTCATAAAATATGTATTACTTATTACCAAATTTCTTTCTACACATAGCTCAATTAAAGGCTCCCCATTTACATTTAAACCCCTGGCACCCCAAATTTACCTACTACTCCTTCCATAACATTTTTACCCACTTTAGCATTGAAATCCCCAACCACCATTACTCTCACACTTGATTCAAACTCCCCAGCATTCACCAACTTTTCCCAAAATCTTCTTTTCTCCTCTACACTTCTCTTTTCTCCAGGTGCATACACGTTTATTATAACCCACTTTTCACATCCAATCTTTATTTTACTCCACATAATCCTTGAATTAATACATTTTAGTCCCTCTTTTCCTGCCATAGCTTATCCTTAAACATTATTGCAAACTCCTTCTTTAGCTCTAACTCTATTTAAAAACCCTGACCTAATCCCATTATTCCTCTCCACTGAAACTCTCCCACCCCTTCAGCTTTGTTTCACTTAAAGCCAGGACATCCAGCTTCTTCTCATTCATAACATCCACAATCATCTCTTTCTTATCATCTGCACAACATCCACGAAACATTCAGACTTCCCACTTTGACAATTTTCTTCTTCTTATTTTTTTTAGTAATCTTTACGGGAAAAGGGGTTACTAGCCCATTTTTTCCCCGGCATTTTAGTTGACTTTTACAACACGCATGGCTTCGGAGAAAGATTCTTTTTCCCATTTCCCCCATGGATAAAAAAGGAAAATTAATAAGACCAAGAATATTAAGATAAAATCAAAGAAAACTCAGATGAGTGTGTATAAATAAATGTGTACATGTAATGTTTTATTTGGACCTAAGTGTAAGTAGAAGTAGCAAGAATGCCCGTAATCTTGCATATTTATGAGACAGACAAAAGACATCAGCAATCCCACCATCATGTAAAACAATCACAGGCTTCGGTTTACACTCACTTGGCAGGACGGAGTACCTCCCTGGGTGGTTGCTGTCTACCAACCTACTACCTATATATATATATATATATTAATATATTATATATATATATATATATATATAATATATATATTATATATATATATAAAGACAGCTGTTCAGGTAAAAGATTTAGAATTTGTTTTCCTCTTTTTTTGGGGGGGGGGGGGCTAGCGGGGGTATTACCCCAACTTGGTGAGCAATGATCAATGTGTTAAACATACATAAGGTATTTATATTATTATTAGCACTAATAGTTTAATAAACCTCACCAATTTTAATTTTTATTGTAATAACAATACTGCATTTTATCCACCCTGACCACTAGCAACCATTACTTGCTTTCCCTCTCAGCTCCACCCTTCCTTGCAGCCATCTCTAATACAACTCTCCCTACCACTTCATCATTTCCCCATGACTGTAATAATAATCTATCACTGCTATAATAATGTGAAGCAGTATCCCTGTAAATTCCAGTATAATGTACTATAAAAAATAAGTATAAATAAATAAATACAGTAGGCATGTGTGAGCATGTTAGGAGTGGAGACAAATGGTTTTTGGGACTTGACGAGCTGTTGGAGTGAGCAGGGTAATATTTTGTGAAGGGATTCAGGAAAACTGGTTAGCCAAACCTGAGTCCTGAAAGTGGGAAGTACAGTCCCTGCATTCTAAAGGAAGGGCTTAGGATATTTGCTATTTAGAGGGATATCTAAAATATCAAATCTGCATATCTCTGTCAAGACAGTGATAGTGTGAATGATAGCAAAGTGTTTCTTTTTCAGGTCACTCTGTCTCGGTGCAAGACAACCAGCATGTTAAAAAAAAAAAAAAAAAGTATGTGTGTGTGTTCCGCACACATGCAAACATGTGTGTGACCACACACACACACACACATGTATGTACATATGCACCTACATATGTACACAAGTACGTACACACTTACATATATACACACACACATACGTACATACATATATACAAACACACACACATACATACACACATGTACACACAAAATCCTAGAATCTAAGAACTCCACTGTACAACTTACCTTGTCTCTGAGAAATTCTTTAAAGGCTTCCAGTGCTTCTTTCTTGTCTTTAAACACCAGCTGTTTGGGTTCTGCTACCTCCTTTGTTACTTCTGCTACAAGTATATGATGGTAGTAGTTAGATTATTACTTCTTATTTCTAACCATAAGAGAACAACTTAAAACTATCTCTAAAAATATTTCACAGCAATAATGTATATATTTCATTCATTAACATTAACCAGCAAATCCTTGACTTAACAGACTAAGAGGGAGCAGATGACCATTAAAGTTCATTGTGGTACTATATAGAAATGAGATTCTTCTGCCTTGACTGTAACAATAATGGACAATTCAAACACAGACTTCGTCCACTGTCTCAAATTAAGTGACCCAGCATATTTTGTCCCATATTCTGACGTCAACTGAACTGATGCCCCTTAAATTAAGGGTTTACTGTACATTAACATCAACATGACTTTATTTATGCATATCCACAAGACTTACCTCTATTTTCTTAAATGTAAAGAGTTGGTGCATCAAAGGTTCTAAAACAAACTGCCATGACTATAACACCTAACAAAAAATATGATTTTACTCAATTATTTTAACATTTCAGCACAGTTTGTTTTTTCTGACAGCCATCACTGCTTAAAAACATTTACTTCTCATAGCCCAACCTATTGCCACTTTTTCAGCTTTACAAGCTAAGAGGTATTGGATAGATGGTGGGAATATTTTGAGGAACTTTTAAATGTCGACAAAGAAAGGGAAGCGGTAATTTCATGCACTGGCCAGGGAGGTATAACATCTTTTAGGAGTGAAGAGGAGCAGGATGTGAGTGGGGGAGGTGAGGCATTACGTAGAATGAAAGGGGGTAAAGCAGCTGAAACTGACGGCATCATGACAGAAATGTTAAAAGCAGGGGGGGATATTAGTGTTGGAGTGGTTGGTATTTTTGTTTAATAAATGTATGGAAGAGGAGAAGGTACCTAGGGATTGGCAGAGAGCATGTACAATTCCTTTAAATAAAGGGAAGGGGACAAAGAGAGATTGTAAAAATTATAGGGGAATAAGTTTACTGAGTATACCAGGATTCTGAAGAGAAGTTGCAGATTGGTGGATGAATTTGGTAGGGTGTGCAAAAGAAGAAAATTAAAAGTGAATACAGGAAAGAGTAAGGTTATGAGGATAACAAAAAGATTAGGTGATTAAAGATTGGATATCAGATTGGAGGGAGAGAGTATGGAGGAGGTGAATGTATTCAGATATTTGGGAGTGGACGTGTCAGCGGATGGGTCTATGAAAGATGAGGTGAATCATAGAATTGATGAGGGGAAAAGGGTGAGTGGTGCACTTAGGAGTCTGTGGAGACAAAGAACTTTGTCCTTGGAGGCAAAAAGGGGAATGTATGAGAGTATAGTTTTACCAACGGTCTTATATGGGTGTGAAGCATGGGTGATGAATGTTGCAGCGAGGAGAAGGCTGGAGGCAGTGGAGATGTCATGTCTGAGGGCAATGTGTGGTGTGAATATAATGCAGAGAATTCGTAGTTTGGAAGTTAGGAGGAGGTGCGGGATTACCAAAACTGTTGTCCAGAGGGCTGAGGAAGGGTTGTTGAGGTGGTTCGGACATGTAGAGAGAATGGAGCGAAACAGAATGATTTCAAGAGTGTATCAGTCTGTACTGGAAGGAAGGCGGGGTAGGGGTCAACCTAGGAAAGGTTGGAGGGAGGGGGTAAAGGAGGTTTTGTGTGCGAGGGGCTTGGACTTCCAGCAGGCATGCGTGAGCGTGTTTGATAGGAGTGAATGGAGACAAATGGTTTTTAATACTTGACGTGCTGTTGGAGCGTGAGCAAAGTAACATTTATGAAGGGGTTCAAGGAAACCGGCAGGCCAGACTTGAGTCCTGGAGATGGGAAGTACAGTGCCCGCACTCTGAAGGAGGGGTGTTAATGTTGCAATTTAAAAACTGTAGTGTAAAGCACCCTTCTGGCAAGACAGTGATGGAGTGAATGATGGTGAAAGTTTTTATTTTTTGGGCCACCCTGCCTTGGTGGGAATCGGCCAGTGTGATGATAAAAAAAAAAAAAAAATACCATGAAAATTTCTCCATGGGGAAGTGGAACAGAATTCTTCCTCCGTAAGCCATGCGTGTCATAAGAGGCAACTAAAATGCCGGGAGCAAGGGGCTAATAACCCCTTCTACTGTATACATTACTAGAGTTAAAAAGAAAAACTTGTTTTTCTTTTTGGGGCACCCTGCTTCAGTGGGATATGGCCAGTTTATTAAAAGAAAAAGACCAGGAAAAGTGTATGGTAGGGTTACTATTGAAAGAATTGGAGGTAAGACAGAGAGTAAGATTGCTAATGAGCAAGGAGGCTTTAGAAAGGGTAGGGAATGTGTAGATCAAGTGTTTACATTGAAGCATATATGTGAACAGTTTTTAAATAAAGGCAAAGAAGTTTTCATTGCATTTATGGATTTAGAAAAGGCATATGATAGAGTGGATAGAGGAGCAATGTGGCAGATGTTGCAAGTATATGGAATAGGTAGTAAGTTACTAAATGCTGTAAAGAGTTTTCGTGAGGACAGCGAGGCTCAGGTTAGGGTATATAGAAGAGGGGGAGATTACTTCCCAGTAAAAGTAGGTCTTAGACAGGGATGTGTAATGTCACCATGGTTGTTTAATATATTTATAGATGAGGTTGTAAAAGAAGTAAATGCTAGTGTGTTCGGGAGAGGGGTGGGATTAAATTAAGGGGAATCAAATACAAAATGGGAGTTGACATAGTTACTTTTTCCTGATGATACTGTGCTTACAGGAGACTCTAAAGAAAAGTTGCAAAGGTTAGTGGATGAGTTTGAGAGTGTGTGTAAAGGTAGAAAGTTGAAAATGAACATAGAAAAGAGTAAGGTGATGAGGGTATCAAATGATTTAGATAAAGAAAAATTGGATATCAAATTGGAGAGGAGGAGTATGGAAGAAGTGAATGTTTTCAGATACTATTTGGGAGTTGACGTGTCAGTGGATGGATTTATGAAGGATGAGGTTAACCATAGAATTGATGAAGGAAAAAAGGTGAGTGGTGCATTGAGGTATATGTGGAGACAAAAAACATTATCTATGGAGGCAAAGAAGGGAATGTATGAAAGTATAGTGGTACCAACACTCTTACATGGGTGTGAAGCTTGGGTTGTAAATGCTGCAGCGAGGAGATGGGTGGAGGCAGTGGAGATGTCCTCTCTAAATATTATGCAGAAAATTCGGAGTGTGGAAATTAGGAGAACGTGTGGAGTTAATAAAAGTATTAGTCAGAGGGCTGAAGAGGGGTTGTTGAGGTGGTTTGGTCATTTAGAGAGAATGGATCTAAGTAGAATGACATGGAGAGAGTATAAATCTGTTGGGAAAGGAAGGCGGGGTTGGGGTCATCCTCAAAAAGGTTGGAGGGTGGGTAAAGGTGGTTTTGTGGGCAAGGGGCTTGGACTTCCAGCAAGCGTGCATGTGTGTGTTAGATAGGAGTGAATGGAGACGAATGGTATTTGGGACCTGATGAGCTGTTGGAGTGTAAGCAGGGTAATATTTAGTGAAGGGATTCAGGGAAACCGGTTATTTTTATATAGCCGGACTCGAGTACTGGAAATGGGAAGTACAATGCCTGCACTTTAAAGGAGGGGTTAGGGATACTGACAGTTTGGAAGGATGTGTTGTGTATCTTTATATGTATATGCTTTTAAACTGTTGTGTTCTGAGCACCTCTGCAAAAACAGTGATTATGTATGAGTGAGGTGAAAGTGTTGAATGATGATGAAAGTATTTTCTTTTTGGGGATTTTCTTTCTTTTTGGGTCACCCTGCCTCGGTGGGAGATGGCCAACTTGTTAAAAAAAAAAAAAAAAAAAAAAAAAAAAAAAAAAAAAAAAAAAAAACTGAAAAACTGAAACTGCACCATGTGAATTCCAACACACAGATTTTTCTAAGACAGAAATTAAAGGATCTAGTGGACCCAGTAATCAATGCAGTACAAACACTCAAATGCACTGTCTTCCAAAGTTGTAGATTTTTATTATGCCATGTTTTTATCAAAGGGTCTCTTGCAATTAGCTAATTACTATTTCTTTCATGGTGCCCATTTAGTTTGGGCTAGGTCAACAACCCTTAAATTGTGGGTATTAATACAACCCCTAAACAACAGGGCCTGGTGCATGACCCCTGAATTATGGAGCATGGTGCATGACCCCTGAATTATGGAGCATGGTGCATGACCCTTAAAATAAGGGATTGGCAAATGACCCCTAAATTGTGGAGCCTGGTAAATGACCCCTAACTGTGGGGCCTGGCAAATGGCCCCTATATTGTGTAGCCTGGTAAATGACCCATAAATTGTGGGGCCTAGCAAATGACCCCTAAATTTTGAGGCCTGGCAAATGACCCCTAAATTGTGGGGCCTGGTAAATGACTCCTAAATTGTAGGGTGTGACAAATGACCATAAATTGTGGGACCTAGCAAATGGCCCCTAAATTGAAAATCAACCATAGGGAATCCTTCAAAATTTGCTTCACTGAATTTTCGTTGCATGACTATTCTTCCTGTACATTCTGTTATGAATATCAATATAACAAGATTAGAGCAAGAATACAATAAGTATGGCCTCACAAACACAAAATTAGACCAAATCCAAAATAAAATTTATTTTGTTAGAATTGGATCTGTGCTCCAGTTCCCTGAATTGAGCCTGAATACCTTCCATCCCCCCTCCCCAGCATGTACTGTGTAATCCTATGGGTTTAGCGCTCCCCCATGATTACAATAATAAAGGTCCTGTGAATATATAATTGCAACTGCAGTCTTACTAAACTCCAACAATTTTTTTTTTAAACGCATTGGCCGATTCCCACCAAGGCAAGGTTGCCCGAAAAAGAAAAACTTTCATCATCATTCACTCCATCACTGGCAAGACAGTGATGGAGTGAATGATGATGTAAGTTTTTCCTTTTCGGGCCACCCTGCCTTGGTGGGAATAGGCTGACGTGTTAAAAAAAAAAAAGTTAGAATTTAGTAAGATTATATATTCACAGGACCTTTATTATAATAATCATAGGGGAGCACTAAACCCATAAGATTATACAGCACACGCTAGGGAAGGGAGGGGATGGAAGGTATTCAGTCTCAATTCAGGAAACTGGAGTACAGATCCAATTCCCTAGATCAAGAGCCCCTCATCAGCATAAAGGAACCTCCCTTGAGGGGCATGGGATCTTTAGAAACCTCATTCCTGACAAATCTAGGGCCAGCTGTACATTGGTACAATGCTGCTGTTAGGATAAAAAATAAAAAAAAAAAAAAAAGAGCAATAATATAAAACAGTTAATGCTTTGCTCTGGTAAAGTATTCAGAAATACAATATGACATGAGGGAAAAAGAAATAAGGACTGCCATAAAACAAGCTATACAAAACTCATTTGGCATTCCATATTCAATTATGCCTTCCAAAGCGACACAAGCTGTGAATCATACCGAAGAGTTCCTAATCTATAAATTTAGGGTAAAAAAGAGTTGAAATCTATGGATCTGCAGCATGGGTTTCAAACCATTTTTGTAAAGGTTAGTTTTTAATAAGACATAAAAGCAAAATCACAAAACCAACTTCTGGATAAAATTGATTTCAAAATAAATATGCACTTACATAAAAAAAAAAAGAGGTAATTTAAAAATCTTAATATAATACTATATGAGCATGCAAGTTAGAAAACATGAAGCAAGTCAGAAAGAATGCATGGAAATTAAAACTAATTATAAAACAATAAAAAAGCGAGAGGACAAAACATTAGATTCAATATACATACACTTCTGGTAAGGGTAGTGTGTGATGATGTGTGCTGAACTGACCGAGGGGCAAACATCAATTTTAAACAAAATCACAGCGTAAGTTAACTTTTGGGACACTTAAGATATTAGGTAAAGCAAAGACATTCAAGAATGTGTGTTTTTCATTCAGACTTGATTAAGTTTGCACTCTTCCCATGTATGTGGGAATTTACTTGTCTACAGCTTTAAATTAAAAATATATTAAAGACAGTTCTACAATGAGGAAAGACAGGTGCTCACTTTCAACAAGTGTGATGTTCCACCCGACTGGCAAAGAACCCCCCACTGTTCCAGTAAGTACCTGGAGTCCCTCCACATTCCTTTGTATCTGCTGAAGAGGACCTGAACAGGTCAAAATATACAGCCAACCATTCTTTCTCGTATCTATCTTGTGGGGCTATCCTCTTTCTCATACTGGTAATGATATTTAAATACCAAGCACAATCTACCACATGAGATATGTATCCTCAAAACTACATGAAGCTTCAATAATACATATTACAATACAAATTTACTTAGGATAAAATTTTGTGCAATCATTAAATCCTTACAGCTGAATCAAATGACTGATTCAGTTTAATTCGAAGTTAATTCATCACACAAAACACACACTACCCATCAAGAAACGGTATAGAGTATTAAATAATTACCAACAAACAAATGTTTCACAGCACCTATAACAGTGGGTTTAGTGATTTCTTCTTTATCCACTGGGACGGACTTCTTCTCTGGGGCTTGAAACAAAAAAGATCTAGCATGAAGCTACTCTTATTCAGTGATTATCTACCATTCTGTCTCTCTTCCTATTACTCATTCTCATTCATTCATTTTCTCCCTCACGCTCTTGCATTCCTTTATTCTCTCTCTCTCTCACTCCCTTTCTCATTCTCTCATTCATTCTCATTATCTCTCTCAGCACACTAAGTCATACATAACATTTTCTCTCTCAGCATAACATTAAACAAATAGTAATACTCTTTTTTGTAAAGAAAACTGGTTCTTATAAATAGCATACAAATATAACTCTGAAATAAAATATTACCCCCCCCCCAAAAGTCCCTTTATTAATACTCACCATACACATTTATACAAGACATTTTCTAAAAAATGCAACCACACCACATTATCATACTTTCCTAATTTTGTAAGGTGTTTTGAATCTTGCTGGTAAGCAAAGGTAAAAAAAAATAAAAATAAAGGGTATATGCAAGACTGTACACAAGGGTTCCTCTCTCTTTCTCTCTCTCTCTTCTAGTTACTGTAACATGAAAGCAAAACTTCACATCATAGCAAAGAAATGAAAGGATATTAATTTTTCATTTCACTTGAAAATTAGTGCGAGAAAAGCAATTATTTAACAAAGACAAAGAACTGGCATCATTATGCTGTATCACATGGTTCATTTAGCTGGAGAGGCCTTATCATATGGTTTATTGTTATTTATTTTTTGTTAATGATTTTCTATCAATGTTTATTTCATACATAAAATAAATTTTGATCATTTAAATTGTTTACAAGTGTTTGGTTCATATAAAGTATTTCCTTTTGTATTTTTTACCCTTGCTTGTCTCGACATTACTTCTTGCAATAACCCTTCAATCCCACATTTCCCCATTATGTGTTTGTCTCCTTAAACTGTTCCACAACAAAAAACTTACCAGTATCCTCTCTTCAAGGATTTGTCATGCATGTAATATGGTGACAGACAATTTGTAAAAGCTTGCACCTCATCTACACTCAATTTCTATGAAGCTACAATGAAAAACTGCAGACCTTATCACACACTGAAAAATTACAACGAAACAGCATTCCAATTATATTCTCAGACATCTTGATGGTCAATTCTTGAATGCTTTTTAATATATATCAATGTGAAAACCTTCATACTTCTAATAAATTACTTTTGCCTCACAATTTTTTTTTTTCATCTTCACTTTTGTTTGCATTTATTTATTTGCCCACATCTAGTAGGTTCCACTTTGTTGTCCTCTTATTCAGCAAATTATCTACTTAGTACAGTACTGTATGATTAATTAAAGCATTCATACAAGCCACATTTTTCTATGTACTTTCGCAACCCTCCCTACATCATGCAATATTACAGCCTCTCCTTACTTAATGACGGAGTTCTATTCCTAAGAGCACATCAGTAAACGAATTCGTTGCTAAGTGAGGAGCATACTATATGGTAGTGGGTTTGCATCAACCATCTATGATATTGTTTTAATGTCATCTTTGCATCATTTATAACATTACTGGTATATTCTTAAATGCTTATACGTTAATGTACTGAATATTGTAATAAACAGAATAGAGAAAATCTGCTCTATTATACATTATTTAGGTATGTATACTGGTCAGAGAGCCCGTTGTAAGTCCAAGGCATTGGTAAACGAGTACGTCGCTAAGTGAGGAGAGGCTGTACTTAATTCATTCATATGATATTCAACCTCATTATAGCTTCAACTGTTCAGCTCCATACAGTTGAGCTCTTCTTCAGGCTGAGGGGCTGACTAGCTCAGCTACTGTTACAACCAAATTTTTTAGACAGTCAAATAACTGAAAAATAACTGCTGTATAAGAGCAATCATCTTTCTCTAGCTTTTAATTACACATCATAACACTATCCAAAATAGGTAGTAGGTTGGTAGACAGCAACCGCCCAGGGAGGTACTACCGTCCTGCCAAGTGAGTGTAAAACGAAAGCCTGTAATTGTTTTACATGATGGTAGGATTGCTGGTGTCCTTTTTTTCTGTCTCATGAACATGCAAGATTTCAGGTACGTCTTGCTACTTCTACTTACACTTAGGTCACACTACACATACATGTACAAGCACATATATACACACCCCTCTGGGTTTTCTTCTATTTTCTTTCTAGTTCTTATTCTTGTTTATTTCCTCTTATCTCCATGGGGAAGTGGAACAGAATTCTTCCTCCGTAAGCCATGCGTGTTGTAAGAGGCAACTAAAATGCCGGGAGGAAGGGGCTAGTAACCTCTTCTCCTGTATATATTACTAAATGTAAAAGGAGAAACTTTCGTTTTTCCTTTTGGGCCACCCCGCCTCGGTGGGATACGGCCGGTGTGTTGAAAGAAAGAAAGAACACTATCCAAAATAATAAGGGGCAGTATAAACTGCAAAAGCTGATGACACTCTTCAGGTCACTTGTTCTATCTAGGCTGGAATATTGCTGCACACTAACAGCACCTTTCAAGGCAGGTGAAATTGCTGACCTAGAAAATGCACAGAGAACCTTCACGGCGCGCATAACAGAGATAAAACACCTCAATTACTGGGAGCGCTTGAGGTTCCTGAACCTGTATTCCCTGGAACGCAGGCGGGAGAGATACATGATTATATACACCTGGAAAATCCTAGAGGGACTAGTACCGAACTTGCACACGAAAATCACTCACTACGAAAGCAAAAGACTTGGCAGACGATGCAACATACCCCAATGAAAAGCAGGGGTGTCACTAGCACGTTAAGAGACCATACAATAAGTGTCAGGGGCCCGAGACTGTTCAACTGCCTCCCAGCATACATAAAGGGGATTACCAACAGACCCCTGGCAGTCTTCAAGCTGGCACTGGACAAGCACCTAAAGTCGGTTCCTGACCAGCCGGGCTGTGGCTCGTACGTTGGTTTGCGTGCAGCCAGCAGCAACAGCCTGGTTGATCAGGCTCTGATCCACCAGGAGGCCTGGTCACAGACCGGGCCACGGGGGCGTTGACCCCCGGAACTCTCTCCAGGTAATGACTTACTAACCCTGCCTGGGCATGTAAATAAACTTGCAGTTCTCTAATTATAAAGACCTATTTGTAGCTACAGGAGTAGAGCTAGGCTCGTAGCATCCCACCTTCAATATTTAATCTACCACATGGGATGTCTAATGAGATGTGAATGCATCATGGTATTACTCTCTATGTACACTAACATAGAGAAACTCCAGTGCCAGAAAAAAAATGCTCAATTTCAATGATAAAATTTTAGTTTATGGGTTTACAAAAAAAATAAAGAGATTTTAAGGGATACACAAATTAGCATTAACTTAAAAAATTCAACAATATTTTTTACACCATCCAGACACAACATAAAAGAAAATGCCTGACAATAAATACTGAGATTAAATTAAAGTTTAATTCCACATCGACCGACTGTGCCTGAGAAAATTCCAAAATTAAAAAAACACTAACAAATAATTGTAATAGCATCCCACATACCTTTTCCTGCAGCAGGAACTTGAATGGCAGCAAGAGTAGCAGCCATAGCTTGGTCAAGAGCAGACGTTGTTTTTTTATCTGGTATAGTACTGGCATTGATACCAGTATTGATGCTAGTATTGATACTGGTATTAATAGTACTACTGTTATTAGTACCATTTTTATTCCTGAAAAATACAATTTTACTGTACAGTTAATTTGTAATGCAATAAAATGTCTGATGTGCTAATACCCACCTTACTTATAATGGTATAATGAGCATCAAATGCAAAGCATTTTTACAAAATTTTAAATAATTAATCTTACCTACTTAATTTTTTTTAACATCACCATCTTCCACTGAAGTAGAGTAACCCAAATAAAAGAGGAAACCAGCCACTGTCATTCAGTGAATCACTATCTTGCTAGAATGTGCTGACATCACAGTTTAGATAACCCTCTAAATTACATCCATTGTACTTCCCAAATCCAGAACTCAAGTTCAGTTAACCAGTTTCTTCATAAATGTTACCTTGCTCACACTCCAACAGAACATCAAGTGATGAAAACCACTCATTTCCACTCACTCCAGTCTAATGCACTCACACAAGCATGGTGGATGCTCAAACCCCTAGCTCTCAAAACCTTTAACTTCCTTCTTTCCAACTGTTTCTGGGACAATTACAGATCCATCCTTCCACTCCTGATTTATACACACTCATTGGCATCCTCTCTCACACACTGTCTCTAAATACCTAAACCACCTCAGCAATCCTTTCTTATCACTCTTGAATTATACCCAGTAATCCTCCATTATAGGCCTTCAAACTTTTTCATGACTCATAGGATATACCCGAGTCCTAGTCCTTCCTAGAAAATAATTCTAGTGCATGCATTTTCTTTCCAACTGTTTCAGTAAGTATCACACCCTCCAACACACACAAGACAAAGCTTTAGTAAATGGCACAGATTAGATTTAGTGATAAAATAAAGCATAATTTTGATAGAAATATATTTATGTAAACATTTTAGTGGTATCTCTCTCTGTAGTTATATTCAAGTTTGAATGCTCTTACAATCGTATAGGAAATTTCTCTTTTTAAAAAAATCATTAATACAGGAAAGTAAAGATCATGTGTAGAGTTAAAGTAGATGCTTGTAAGATATGCCTTCCAATTTTTATGTTCCTGAGAAGAGAAAAAAAGAAAATTTAAGCCAGAATATAAAATATTTAGCAGATTTCCATGTTATTCTCATATGACAAAACAGTTTTTCTTATTTTTAGTAATTTATAGAGGAAAAAGTAACATTTATGAAAGGATTCAGGGAAAATGGTTAGCGAGACTCAAGTCCTGGAGGTGGAAGTACAATGCCTGCACTCTGAAGGAGGGGTTGGAGATATGTTGCAGTTTTTGAACTGTAGTGTCGGCACACCTCTGGTAAGATGATGATGTAGTGAGTGATGATGAAAATGTTTCTTCTTTTTGAGTCACCCTCCCTCAGTGGGAAATGGCTGGCTAAAAAAAAAAAAATTATAAAACAGCCTCAATGACCACTTTGGGTGTGATTACTCACCTAATTCAACTAATTTTATTTATTATAATTACAGTACTTACACATTTTCTTCTAAAGCAATTTTTGTTTTCAGGTCCTCTAGTTCTTTGGGAACTGTCCAACGAGATTCTTTTGTATTTACATTGTGGTAGTATGTCTTTCCACTTTCTGATTTGTATTCTTTCCATGGACATTGGGAAAGTAACAGCTGCAAGAAAAAATCTTTATATAAATAATAAAGAGGACAAAATTTTAAAATTTAAACTCTTATACAAAACATTAATTCAAACACTAAAATTCTTAATAAACATACAGTGCATAAAGGAAACATGAATACTCCAAAGTATTTAATCAATAGAAGAAAGGTAAAATATTAATAAGCAAGGCTTTTGTTTTATTGTTCAATATAAAACCGTAACTAAGGTAAGGTGATAAAAAAAATTACCTCAACAGGGGTCTTCAGTTCATCTGGCTTCTCCCATGATGACTGCCTTGTCAATGTATTGTAAAAATAAATCCTTCCATCTGGAGCCTTGTGTTCTGTCCAAACATTCTTTTTGTCCTTGGTAGGTGAACTGAAATTATTACAAATTAATATTTTATTCGTATTTCTAATACTTAAATAGCTATGTACAAAATCCTTTTTTTTTTCTACCATCAGACGAAAAATAGGTATGATGCCTTATTTTCTCAAAGAATTTAAATTATTGGAGTGGCTATAATGAAAGAAAAAGCTGAAGCTCGGAGAGTCTCTTCTATTTTTCTATTCTGACCTCTTCTATCCACATAATTTAGATATTTTTCTAACAGAATTGCCTTATTATAAACCAAATGATTTCCCAGCCTGTTCTTCCACTGTAGGCCATAATTCTTTCTAGCTTATTTGTTTCCCCAAAATTCACTGTAAGACCTTTTTCCTTAAAATATACAGTATTTTCCTTCCTTATGTTTGGCCATTATGTCAGATTCCTTAATTCTTGTTCATTCCTCTCACTCTTCTCATCTCCCACCTCTCTACATCAAAAACATAATAAAGAATTATTCTAATGCATTTTATTACAGTACCCTAATTTTTTTTTTTTCAACTCACACATAATCAGTTTTTGCAGAGGTGCCCAGAATACAACAGTTCAGAAGTATATACATATAAAAATACACAATATATCCCTCCAAACTGCCAATATCTCAAACCCCTCCTTTAGAGTGCAGGCATTGTACTTCCCATTTCCAGGACTCAAGTCCGGTTATATAAAATAACCGGTTTCCCTGAATCCCTTCACTAAATATTACCCTGTTCACACTCCAACAGCTCGTCAGGTCCCAAATACCATTTGTCTCCATTCACTCCTATCTAACACGCTCGCGCACGCTTGCTGGAAGTCCAAACCCCTCGCCCACAACACCTCCTTTACCCCCTCCCTCCAACCTTTTCGAGGACGACCCCTACCCCGCCTTCCTTCCCCTACAGATTTATACGCTCTCCATGTCATTCTACTTTGATCCATTCTCTCTAAATGACCAAACCACCTCAACAAACCCTCTTCAGCCCTCTTGACTAATACTTTTATTAACTCCACACCTTCTCCTAATTTCCACACTCCGAATTTTCAGAATAATATTTACACCACACATTGCCCTTAGACAGAACATCTCCACTGCCTCCAACCATCTCCTCGCTGCAGCATTTACAACCCAAGCTTCACACCCATATAAGAGTGTTGGTACTACTATACTTTCATACATTCCCTTCTTTGCCTCCATAGATAAAATTTTTTGCTTCCACATATACCTCAATGCACCACTCACCTTTTTTCCTTCCCTAATACTTATATTTATAACTTTCTAGACCTTCCTTACCTTGTTTCTGGTTTGACTGATGTAGTAGTAGTAGTAGGAGTTGTGCTAGGGAGGGCAGGGGACTGTGTTCCAGGCATGGCTATAATTGGAGATGCACCTGCAGAAGTAGTTGGTCCTGGAGTAGTTGCAGGAGACACTACCTGAACTGCAGCAGGAGAATTACTGGCTGGAGGAGTATTTAGCTGAGGACCAGCAGAAATTACAGCCCCACTACCTTCACCTGAAATAACATTTACTTTAATGTAACAGAAATAAATACGATTATTTTAGTGAGAATTTTTTTTTTTTTTTTAAGAATTTAATAAAATTATATAACATTAACAACAATACTTGCATTAACAGTTAATAAAATAAACATTACATTATTACTGGGCAATGCACAGTCAAGATATGGATGATAGTGCACAAAACTCGAAATGCCATAAATAATACGAGGCGTTGAGAGGAAAACAGAGAAATTCGCCAGTGAGTGAAAAGTGCATTTTCTATACCAAAAAGTTCATTATTTTTTCTAGTATCATATACACTGTGCATTACTCAGACTGGCAAGTATGTCACCTTTACCCTGCCATTTCCCACTGACCATGCAGTCATGCCTAAAATAAAAGTAACTTGATGTTCTTGGTCTATTTTAATTAAATCTACTTTAAAATGAAACCAGTCTGATCCAAATTGTATGGCTGGTTACTGAGATATTGTTGCAAACATGCTGTGAAAGTCTATGTAATTTTCTCAAAAATGTCATTTCACAAATTCGTTGGTGTTCTTCTCAGTGCCTCTTATAAGCTTAATTCTAAGCAGAGATACTTTCTCAATGCTTTATACTGTGTACTGTAAATTTTCCATCAAATTAACTTCCATTCATATATATATATACCTGCAGAAGCCTGTCCGAAAGAGCTCATAAATCCAGGTGGAGGGATAGTGAATGCTGGTGGTGGTAAGCCCGGTGGAGCTGATGGGGGCATGAAACTTGGTGGTGGGAGGCGTGGAGGCAAATTAGGACCTGGGGGAGGCATTCTGTAACCAGCTGGAGGTGTCCCGTAACCAGGAGGGACATTGCCACCTGGTGGCCCTCCTCCACTCTGTGACACAAGTATAAAAACAAAATGTCAGAAATTTTCAAAATATAAATACAAAAAAATATAAGCAAAATAAACATAGGTAAGACTTTACCATATAGTATTTGAGAAGAAATTGTGATTCTAATGTTCAATTTTTTAAAGAGATTATTTAACAGCAAAAATGTGCCAAACATTCATAAACAAGCCATGTATGTAAATATAAAACACTATACTACAGTACATTTTGAAAATGGTTTAATAAGTACTGTTATAAAGTTTTCAAAGCTTGCAAGACAGTCTCAGAACAGACCCAGTAGGAAGAAAATCTGTAAGACTTATTATGTAAAGTGTACAAAACATTTATGTAAAATTTAATTACAGAAAATCAGATTCCTAGAGTATTATTCAAACTATCGTATTTTTCTATTCATATAAGGCTAAGAGACAACTTTACATCAGCTACAAATTTAAACTGCAATACACAAAAATGAACTTACATATTCCTATCTAAAGAAGGATAGTTACAAAGGAATTAACAGGATAAAGAGAAGAAAACAAAAAATTACTGAATATAAATGAATAAAAATTAGAGCATTTTTTTACATATTAGCCAGCCTAAAAGTAAAACAAATGAAAAAAAAAAAAAAGTCTTCTCAAAATAAATCCACCACATATGCATGCAAAAGTTTAGATTATGTGACTGAGACATACCCTGAATAATTTAAGTGAGCAGAGAGGTCTACCATGATGTATACAGAAGATAGATATACTTACTTGACTTGCTTATTTCAATCACTGCCCTGGGTGATATCTTAACTAGCCAGACTGTTAATGCCTGCAGCTGGCAGTCTGATGTAGGTACCAGAACCAAGCTGATGAGGTACATATTCAAGAAACACATCTCCTCTCAAAGACAAGGATATGCTGGTGATTTCCTTTATATTTGAAGTAAGAGTATAGTACTTATACAGTTATACCTTAGTGTGTTGATCTTCATTAGGGCTATTTTGAACAATTTTACAAGAATTTCAAAACTGTTATGTAGATTTGGAATGAATCCCTCCATTATTTTGTAGTTGTAAAAACTATTAACCCTTTCAGGGTCCATCCCGTAGATCTACGGTTTTACGTTCAGGGTCCAAATCGTAGATCTACGTCATGAGCTCAGCTCACTCTGATAAACTGTGAGTGGTAAATTTGGGCCTAGATATGAGAGAATACATCTATGTGGTATGTGTGCACCACATAAAACAAATCCTGCAGCACACTGTGTATAATGAGAGAAAAAAAAACTGAGACCGTAATTTTCGATTAAAACAGCGACTTTGCGGTGTTTTTTCGTATGTTTTTTATAGTTGTATTTGTGATTTCTTGGTCTCATTTGATAGAATGGAAGACATATTACAGAAATAGAGATAATTTTGATTGGTTTTAGCACTGGAAATGGCTTGAAACTGAGCTCAAAGTGGCGGAAATGTTAAACTTTTGCCGATATTCAAGAGTAAACAAACGACCTCACACGTCTAATACACGCCAGCTGGTGGGTCTAATATACATTCACAAATATGGTGATGATATTTATACAATTATTACAATATTGCATAACAGTAAATCTTCTATTTTTTGGTGTGAATAAAAATTCATTATGTGAATAAAAAATCAAAATGGAATTTATCTGTAAAGCCTCAAAACATAACTAATGAACAGAGGAAATGTTAGTTTAGTGCCAGGAATACCTACAGTGTTTATTCTGGACCCTATTTTGAAATTGGAATATTTTGAACTTTGTGTTAAATTGGCCAAATTACCAATTTCCGGTCACTTTATTTTGTAGTTGAAACAGTTGACTTAGTGATTTCTTGTGCTCAATCGATGGAATAGAAGTAATACTAGTGAAATAGCTAAGAATTTGGTCGACTGGAATAATGTAACTGGCCTAAAATGGGAGTCAAAGTCGGCAAAATCGCCGATTCGTAAATATCGCTGACACATCAAAATTCACGAGAGCATAACTTCGTAAATTTTCCATCAAATTTCGTACTTTTTGTTTTATTACATTCACAAAAAGATTCTCTACCATTTCATAAGAAAAAATAATTTTTTTTTTTTTTTTTAAATTCTTGGACACTGGGGCACCACTTCAGATTTTGGCCTTGGACCCTGAAAGGGTTAACCAACTTGCCTGCACTACAGTTCAGCTTGAGGAATTTTATGACTTTTTTGGGTAATCCTAGGTTCTCTACACATATGCTATGTATGATAATCTGTGAAACTGTATTTGTGTATACCTGAATAAACTTACTGACTTACTTATAGTTTATTTGACTAAAGGGTTCCATTATTACTAGCCATTATTGTCATGTAGAGCAATATTTCAGTAAAGTGTGAGCAAGTGCTTTTAAGAATGCATCATCAATGGCATGATACTTCTTACTTGAAATACCCTTGTAATTATTATATAATGGTGAAGCGCTATAGACACAAGGCACAGAGGTCACAGACCACCTAGGGAATAAAAGGCACTTAACTTTGATCCAAAGACATGGAGAGTAGCTCTAATTCCCTAGACTATGAGTCCTTCACCACTGTTCAGGTACCTCCCTTTAAGAGAAATGTTCTTCTGCCTATTATTTTTCCTACAGTAACTACTGTATTCCTGTTGTGAATACAGTAGTTCCTTCAAGAACTTGCTGTATTTGGATATGGTTATTCCCAGGACAGATGTCTCCCTTCCACTCTATGGTAAATATCTATTTGTAGCTACAGGAGCAGAACTATGCTTGTTACTTTATATTCAATTCTAACTTTTGCTTTTTAAAACAGAGGAACTAAAATTTGTCTTCATTATCATCACAATGTTAGAGTACAAGAGTAACTCATAATCAACAAATGAAAATAACACAAATATTGTCAATCTAGTTAGAGAGAGAGACTTTATAGCTTAGAAAGGATCTTTATTTAGACTGAAAAATTTTCCATTTTCATATTGCTGAAAATGGATTATTATATAATACCTATACAATCATAATGCTATCTATAGTCTACTGCAAAATTTTATAATAACTGATAATGAAAACACTGTCTTCTCCCATGATCTGGTAATAAATTATACAAAATATTGAAAAAGAAAACCAAAGAAAATTGTTATTAAGCAGAATTTTAAATTTCCTATTTGTGACATAATGCACTACCTATATACTGTATCAGCATCATGGTAGACCTCATGCCACTTGTTCAGACACCTGGTACTAATGCATACTGCATGACTCAAATGGTCATTAGCTTTTCCATAAATTATGCTTCTTGTCACTTCCTGCTAATAAATAGGAATACTGTAATCTACTTTTAGATGCTTTTCTGTGGAGAAGAACACCATACAAGGACCAGCTTTTATTACCAGACAATATTCTGCTCGGTACAAGCTTTACCAAGTCTACTTGACAAAGCAACTCAAATGTCTGGAAATAACAACTCGTCCTTGTGTGGTGTCTTTCTCAACATACTTGTCAGCAGTTCCTGCTCTCAGCTGATGCTTCTTGTCGTTAGCAGTAAGACTGGATAATAAACCTCATTGTTGCTGCAAATATAAATACATCAAACAAATTTCACATATAAAATATCAATGAATCATTCCATATTTGTTTTTTTAAACTCGTAGAAAAATAAGAATGAATGAATTTTGGGGTAAAATATGAATTTACTTTCACACTGTTAATTAGATAAGGTAGAGTTAGTTTGGTTCTGGGACTATCTTATTTTCATTCACGGCATGTTTTCCACATACAGTAGACTCTTGCATATCATGCTAATGCAAACTGTGTTATCAATACAGCACTACCAGTAATGAAACTTTCTTCCCAAGATTACTCTTCAGAGGAAACCGATCGAGTGTTCGTGCAGAAAAATTAGAAGAAAATTAGTTTATGTAAAATTAGGCTTGATTGAGCAGGAAGACATTTCACCTCCATGCCCAGGGTGAGGCCATTGTTTTAAAAGAAAGCCTAGCTTGGCTCCTTGGTGTAAACACCCGCCCACAAGGTCAGTTAGCTTCTGGATGTGTATCATATCATATACTCTCATATTTATCACTCCATTTTCAAAATTTTCAACACCCAGTCTTGTCTTTGGACATTAAGGTAGTATGGTGGAGGTGGAGCCAGTCAAATACTAAGAAAGAGGTGCACTGCAAGGGAGCTAGGGGCCCACAGAGGGTAGGAGCAAGAACACAGAGGGGAGAAAAATAAATAATGAAGGAACAAATACCCAAGGCAGAAGACAACCCAAAGGAGAAAGAGGAAAGAGGAAAGAGGAAAGAGGAAAGAGGAAAGAGGAAGAGGGAGAGGGAGAAGAAAAAAAAGGAATCAGGTTAAGTCACAGGTGTTCTGAAGTTTGGAGCATTTTACAATGTAGTGGGAAAGGAGGGCATCTACAAAGACGATGCCAGGACTAAGATTCATACAAGGAAAGTTGTGTATAAGGGAGGATTCAACCAGACAGTGACTGTCAAATCCTCTGGTTGAATCCTCCCTCATATACAACTTTCCTTGTATGAATCTTAGTCCTGGCTTTGTCTCTGTAGATGCCATCCTTTCCCACTACACTGTAAAATACTCCAAACTTCAGAACACCCATGACTTATCCTGATTCCTTTTTCTTCTTCTCCCTCTTCCTCTTTCTTCTTTCTCCTTTGGGCTGTCTTTCTTCTACCTTGGGTATTTGTTCCTTCATTATTTATTTTTCCCCTCTCTGTGTTCTTGCTCCTACCCTCTGTGGGCCCCTAGCTTCCTTGCAGTGCTCCTCTTTCTTAATATCTGACTGCCTCCACCTCCATCATACTACCTCCCCCACTACTACTTTCTACCTCCACTACTACCACTACCACCTCCTGGCCTATACATATACTCCCTCCTTCTCTCCTTTTTGTTAGTGTGACTTTGTAAATGGTCAAAGTCGAACTGAAACGTCATCGTAAGCTCCTCTCTTCTATGTGAGGGTTATTTGTGTAAAAGAGCAAAAGAGCT